AAAAAAAAAAAAAAAAAGGAAGGGGAGCTGAGGATGTTGCTCAGTGAGAAGGCCCTGGGTTCAATCCCTAGTACTGAAGGAAAAAAAGATCAATAGCAGCTACATATGCATGCATACACACATGTACATGTGCAAGCAGCACACACTTTGACCTAAATCAATTCATTTTTTTTTTTGGTACTGGGGATTGAACTCAGGTCCTTGCGCTTGCGAGGCAGGCGGCGGAACAACTGAGCTAGATCCCCAGCCCTAAATCAATTCATTTTAAGAAACTGTATCCCCAGAGAAGAACTAGTCATTTGTTTATTCAGAGTAGAAATATTTATAATAGGGAAAAATGAAAATACTCTTAAGACCTAAAAAGAAAGTAAATGAACTATACACAGTCAGCAACATGATAGATCTATTTTATTTTTTTCTGGGGATTGAACCCAAGACCTCACACATGCTAGGGCAAGTGCCCTACCACAGAGCTATCCCCTCAGCTCCTATGTAATCTATTCTGTCCTGTCCTAAGCATTGAACTGAGGGCTTTCACACTGATCTACATTCCAAACCCTTTTTTTTTTTTAAATTTTTATTTTTTGAGTACCAGGGATCAAACTCAGGTCCTTGTGCTTGCGCAGCAGGTGATGAAACCACTGAGCTAAATCCCCGGCCCTTTTATTTTTTTATTTTGAGACTGCCTCATCAAGTTTCCCAAGCCAGACTCAGATTTGCAGTCCTTTTGCTTTGGGATCACAGACAGGCATCACCATACCTGGCTCCATATAGCTTTTTTAAAGTACAGGTAGAGGAACATAAATCACTACAAGTGCAAAGGAAGGAAACAGAAACAATGCTTTTTAAAAAATTAAATATATCTATATAAATTAAAAAGGATGTAGAGGGCCGGGGATGTAGCTCAGCAGCACTGTGCCTGCTCAGCAAGTGCAAGGTCCTGAGTTCGATTTTCGGTACAGAGAAAAAAAAATGTAGACAGAATGAATGTCCTATCCTCTTATCCAGGTACAGCGGATGTTACATCTATCCAGAAGGCAACCTGACCCTATTCAACTAACTGCACATGTTATCTTCTTCCAACCCAATGATCCAGTAGGCACCATCATCCTCCAATAACTGCCATCGTAAGCATATATTCCTCACGTCATAACTTAGGTTTCTAGAAAAAGTCTATTAGACAACTGTCTATTAGGCTTACGGTGAGTGTGGCGAGTGACATGAAGCCGATCAGGTTATTCCATACTTTATCGATGTCCTTCAGCAACTGTTGGAGTTTCTCACTGCACACTGCAGTGGCTTTTATCCCCAGCTCCACACGTTTGGTTACTCTGTACACCTCAACAACCCCTGGCAGGGAGAGAGAGTACAGAGTTAGGTGTTGGAAGTGTAGAGAAAAAGATGAGCAAAGCAAGCATCATTTCTTGCTGCTCTCTTGGGTGGAATTAAGGAAAGTATCTGGACAGAGGTGAACCTACTATTCTTTGACCAATCCACCTGTCCGTCACGTCAGTGCTGCAGTAGAGCTTACTGGTAAAAACATAGATTCTATACTTCCTGGATTCAAATTCCTGCTCTACTTCTTACTAGCCATGTAACCTTGGGCAAATCAGTGCCTCAGTTTCCTCATCTGTAAAGCTTGGATAATAACAGTATCTCCTCAAAGGGTAGGTGAGAAGAATAAATGAGTTAATGCTGTAAAAGGCTTAAAACAGTGCCAGAACAGCAGGCATTGTACATTTTTTCCCCCCTCCTTTTTTATGAATTTTTATTTGAACCTTGGAAATCCCATTAAGCTTACTGAAAATGAGAACAATGAATTTAAGAGAATCTAAATGTTAATATTATCACAGAGTAACTAAAAGAAATATCTTATCCTTCTGAATCCTTAAGGATTTATAACTTTATGGCTTGATGTATCTTTTATACACTTAACAGGATGCAGAATGGTTCTTTTCCTGTGGTTTTCAAGTTAGGGCTGAACTCATTAAGCAAGGATGATGAGAGATGTCAAGTACCTCTATAATCCAAGGACAGCTGCTAGATACATCCCCAATCCTTATAACGTGACAGTCACCAGACATATTCCCCCAGCCTTTATAAATGAACCCTGGAGAATTCCAGGAGATTATCAGCCTTGGGTAGAGCATTATGGCCTTTCCTCTTTTTTCTCCAAGTGAAGGGCAGGAACTACTGCCCATCTTCAGAAGTGAGGGAGCTTCTACGAGAATCTTCCATAGATATTAGGAATGCTGTTAGAGGAAAAGACATGCATAACATCTCCTGGTGGCCATCTGCTAATACAGCACAATTTTCTGCTTGTGTGAGCAAGAAAAGAGGAACTAGATTAAAAGGATAAGTCAATCAGAGACTGCACCCCTACACTATCCACTCATCCAGCAAATACTCTGGGTACGCTCTGTGTGCCACAAACTAGCCTGGGTGTTGGGGCACAGTAGTGAAGAAAACAGACCAAAATTCAGGCCTTATTGGCAGTTTATTGTAGTGAAGGGAGGGAGACAGTAAGAACAAGAATCAGTAAAATATGTAAGATATTAAAAGTGACCGGGCCAAGGAAAAAAATAAGCAGAAACAGAGATGGAAATGCCAGGGATAGGGAAAGGGGTAGGATTTTGAGAAAGGAAGGCTAGAGAGCCAGGCACGATGGTAGATGACTATAATTCCAGCACTTGGGAGGCCGAGGCAGGAGGATCACCCTGAAGTTGAGGCTGACCTGGACCACACAGTCAGTTCAAGGCCAGACTAAACTATACAGCAAGACCCTGTGTCATAAAACAAAAACAAAAACCAACAACAACAACAAAAAAGAGGGAGGCCAGAGAAAACTTCACTGAGAAGGTGGCAATTGGGTGAAGATCTGTAAAGATGAGACTCCAGTGCCTGTGAGCCTGGTTATGGGCAAGGCCTGAGCCTGGGAAGCAGAGAAACACTGAACTGAACAGAGATTGAGGCTGCAAGGACTGAGGACTGGGGTGTTTAACAGCTGAAGATGGCCAGGAAGTTAGGGAATCTGTTTATGCCATTAAGGGGGACAGAGGAAAAAGCCAGAGCATAGTAAGTAATTGATTGGAAATACAATGATTTAGTTTTAATGCCTTGTTAGTTCAGACTCTTTGATAAGTCAGTAATCGATATCATTTACATTGTTGCTATTATATATAACAAGGACATGAAAACTCAGCTGCAGAGACCTTAGGTCAAATAGCTGTTAATAGCCTGTAACTTAAGTACCTTCTCTGCAAATGCAGATGCTACTTAGTGAAGCTGTATGTAGCTTGTGATCTAGCTTAAAATAGTTAATGTAAGTAAAAACTCATAATAATTCAGAGAGTAATGATTTTGAATAAGTAAAATATAAAAGAACCTACCTAATAAATATTCCATGCCTTGAGCCGACTGAATGACTTCTGTACAAACAGCACTACTACTAATTCCATTTAAGGTATCATTTGCTTTCTTAATGACCTATAAGAAATGAAATTATATCCTATATAACCAAGAAAGGTCACTGCAAATCAACTTATTATTAGAAGAAAACCCAGTAAAAAAAATCAGGAAGTGTGAAAAACCATGAGTGACTGATGTGTGTGTGTGTGTGTATATATATATATATATGTATGTATATATATGTATGCCTATGCTAAAACAAATCTGAGAATCTATTTTTTTTTTTTTTGGTACCAGGGATTGAACTCAGGACCTTACACTTGCAAGGCAGGCGGTGGCACCACTGAGCTAAACCCCCGGGCCACAATGTTCTATTGCTTTGGAAGAGAAAAAAATAAGTGTTTTAGTTTAAATATTATTTTCATTTAGGCAGAGGTAATATCAGTTTGTTATTTCTTTTTTTTTCTTATCATACCAGTTTATTTATTACCACTGTGTTATTTCTTAAACACAGCAACAGATGAGGGAACAACTCATCTGTTATGGTAACAAACATGAAAGAAAACTTACTTAGGACATATGATTTTCCTGTTGTACAGGCCTGTGAAATAAGGTTCCCCTCAAGTTTGCCTCTGTTCATTCAAAAGGAGAAGACAAATGACACAGGAGAGCACTTGTGTATGTGTGGACACAAAGGTGACATACTCACATCCAGGGCACTCCCCAGGCATCTCTGCCATTCATATGCGTATCTCTCATTTTCCTGTGGATTTTATCAAAAGAACTGGGTTAAACAGGCAAGCTGAGGATCCTCTACTTATGACTTCTTCTTTTTTTGGGGGGGGGGCTACTGGGGATCGTACTCGGGACCTTGCGCTTGGGAGGCAGGCACTGGAACCACTGAACTAAATCCCCGGCTACTTATGACTTCTGTCAATGAAAAGGAGCTTGGAAGACTCCTTTTTATTGAAATCATTCTTGTAAATGCACTTATTCTTTTTAAGCCCACTGATAATTATTTTAAATTACTAATACATGTGACTTCTGAGCACATGCCCTGTGACTCTAAGGAAAATGAATTATGGGCAGCTTCTCTCTGTAAGTAATGACTGTCCTATATGTTCCAGTCAGTAACAGTATAGGCCCTTCCTCAAAATAACTCACCATGGAAGTAGCTAGTGCAAGAGCTGATGTCAGTTCACTGATTTTCCATGCCACAGGCATAATGTTCTATGTGCGTGTGCATGTGTGTGCGTCTGTGATTGCACATGTGCATGTGTAACAAGAAACTGGGAAAGGAGAGCTAAGTGTGTTGCTACAGGAGGTAGACCACATGGGACTAAGACGTAGCAAACAGAAATGGGAGATCCAGAACATTTTCCTTCTCGCCTCTATTTTGATGCTTCCACATTCAGTAGGATAAGGAGCTCCGGTGGCACAATCGGTTAGCACATGGTTCTTCTGTAACAGTGGGTTGATAAACTGGAGGCATTCAAAAAGAATCCCTCAAATAGTCTCCTCCTTGAAGTCCTATGAATAATTTCGGTTTTAGGGTCTCTTGACTATTTTAGTGGAAGTCACATCTGAGAAGTGCTTTTGCCTAGAACTAATGTTACCAGACTTTTACTTCAATCATCTTTGACATCTGGTGCCTTGTGCCCCCTCCCTCCCATTTCCCCACATGAAAGCTGAAAGCACTTTTTCCTGGAGTCTTCAGGACTCAGCAGGTGTTTTTTACCTGCTCCTCTGTCGAGAACAACCCTGCTTACCTCCACCTCTCCAGTCAGATCTTTGTACTTGTCACGGATGACAGGCAGAGCTGGCTTCTCACTCAGAGTGTTGGAACGGTCTCTGAAAGGCTGCTCCACAGCTGGAGAAGGAGAGGACCGGCTTATTTCTTTATCACCAAGGCTCAAGCTCCTCTTATGCGATCCTGGGCAGAGTGGAGATACATTGAAAGGTTTTATTACTCAGCTTAGCTCAAGCAGAGGCTCTTCATATTCTCTCAATGCAAGTGAAGTCCATGATCTCTTCTACCAGGATGGGATTAAAGCAGAAGAGGCAAACTCAAATGCCTTCAGAGACCAGCAAGTAAAGTAAATGATACATGGGGTCAGCTGGAGATAGTGGTGGTGGGGACTGGGGCAAGCTGGGACAGTCTGCCTGTCTATGGGGGTAATCAGCAGCACTTACCAAGATACGGGGATGAAGGCCTAGTACTGCCAGCTATTATGACTTTTCAAGAAAAGCTAGAAATCCAGATTTCTAAAAATCTCATAATTTTTAAGTATTAGCAACAAGTTCACATTTAGGGATTTATCAAAACAGATCTGCAATCTGGATGCAGATCCACTGCCACAACATTGCAGCCTTTGGATGAAGGACTGTCTGCAGGCAGAGATATAATTGTGGTTATATCATGCAGGTGCCTTGGTTTTTTCAAAAAAGATACCGTCTGGTTTTCTTTGCTGTTTTTTTAAGTACTATGAATGAAACCCAGAACCTTTTCACTGAGTTATATCCCCAGTCCTTTTTTATTTTTATTTTTTACTTTTTAATTTTTTTTTGGTACCGGGGATTGAATTCAGGTCCTTGCACTTGAGCAGCAGGCGGCGGAACCACTGAGCTAAATCCCTGGCCCCAGTCCTTTTTTATTTTGAGACTCAGTCTCACTAAGTTACTAAGTGGCACAGGCTGGGCTTGAACTAGTGATCCTCCTGTCTCAGCCTCCCAGAATGTGCATCAAGATGTCTGGTTTAGTCTGTTTTCTATTTTTTATTTTTGGCACTGGGGATCGAACTTAGGACCTTGTGCTTGCAAGGCAGGCGCTGGAACCACTGAGCTAAATCCCCGGCCCCTTAGTCTGTTTTTTAAACAGCATACTTCTAAGCAAACAAGTCAGTGAATAACAACCTCATGCCCAAAAGCGGTTTATAGTTTTATAGTTAGCCCAAAAGCAGTTGTCTAAAACATACTTATTTGACTTCAGTTCAGTTTCAGGGGAATCTTTATTTCAGTTATCTGTCATTGACCCTGATTTCAAAAGATGGAAAGTCTATTTTCTGCTAAACCAGGAGTCAACATTTCCTTAACAAACAGTATCTAGGGACAGGGATTTAGCTCAGTGGTTCTGCTGCTTGCCATGAAAGCGCAAGATCCCGAGTTCGATCCCTGGTACCAAAAAACAAACAAAAACAATATCTAACATCTCAATAGTAAAATCTACTGTGAAGTTACTCACCTTGAACAGAAAGGTCAAAGGTTGCCAGCTCACTTTTGATCATTTCTTCACTGGACTTCATTTTGCTCTGAGAATTGGCTACTTTTAAAAAGTCAAATTTGCTGATTTTAGGCTTTTCACTTTGAAACTCTCCAAAGTCATCTGAACATTCTTTGGGGGTTTCATGAGAGGCACCGCTGGAAGCTGGGCTTGGACATGTGACCTCTTGGCTCTGTTCTGCTATGGACAGGTCCTGTCTTGTGAAATCTTTATAGTCTCCACTTTCATATTCCTTTTGCTCATTGGTCTGAGGAATCATGTCTGTAAAACTGGCAAAAGCTGGGAAGGTAGTCTCTGGAAGACTGTCTTCACTTGCAAAGGTGGTTACGTTGGAGAGAGATGTCAGGGTGATGTTTTCAGAACTGCCAAATGATGTCTCTTTCTTCTGAAGAATGGAGGCAGCTGAGGAGGATCCACTTCCTGCTGAGAGGACAAATGGAGAGAGTTTTCTGCCCTGAGACGCATCATCCCTGTCTGACCAGTCATAACTTGTAAGTGTGCTCATGGCAAAATTGCTACTGTAGCTTCCAAAAGCAGCATATTTTAAGTCCTCTATATCTGAAAGGGAAATAAGACCCCAAAATTAGAGGCAAGCTCATAATTTAGGCAAAATGCCTAGCACATCTGATTAGTTTTATGGTATACTGGAGTAACTAAATTTAGTGCTTATACCAAAATTAAAGAAGTTAGGCTATAAGATCTGATCTTAAAAAACCCACATTACCTTGAGTTGGCATTTAGTTACAAAGAATTTTTTCTTTGTATATAGAAATTACCAAGAAAGATAGGAGGTTCATCTACCAACATATTTACTTTTCAGATTAAGGTCACTTCATAAATTGCTCCTTTATAAATGTACTTACATATTCCCTGCCTAAAAAATGTCTCCTTTCTTCTAGGCTTGGTTGGAAAATGTTCCTTTAAGGCATGACTACATGAAATGTACATGGCAAACTAATTAAAAATTGACAGTTTCTCAAAACTAAAGTACAAATGATGTCACTTAACTGTTAGTAAGTCATTAGGAAGTTTGTCTCGGGCAAGGCCAAATATGAGATTTTAATCAAGCAATTACTTACCTAGTTGTTATTTTGGTGAATTTCATATTGCTGTGATGGAGTATGGGGAAAGAAAAATTAAGCTAATCTACTTTAGACCTTAAGAAAAATAGAAGTAAAGGTCTGGGACCTATTAGGCAACTATTTCTGCTTCAACTATGCATTTCCTTTAAAAAAGGAAGGGGGAATTCTAGGGGAAAAGGCTCATTATGCAAAGCATTCTTAATTTATGTTTAAATAATTTAACAGGTATCATAAAACCGAAAGCATGTGGGTTTTTTATTTAGACAGGTCTGAATTCAACTGTGCCACTACTTATTTATGGAACACTAAGCAAATTACTTCATAGTTCTGAAAAATGGTTTGCTTATTATCTGTAGAACAAGGAGAAGATGTGTACTTAGAAGGGCTGTGTTAGCACAATCAGGAACCCAGAATCAAATGAGGTGACACTCAGGAAACACATGCAATTAAACACAAGACTAGGCTTCAAGGGGTACATTCAGAAAAATCTTTCACAAGACAGATATTCTTCTTATTAGAGCCCCAGAAAGCTCTTTTGGGAAACAAAAGAACTGCTCCGAGAATCTCATCGATTAGAGGGTAGCAATTTTTCTAGAGACCAAAGATAAATTTAATGAAATGATAGCTCCAGATCAAACATTACAATCAAGTTGCTATGGTAATAAAAAGACCTTTTTGTGCAATTATGCAACAGGAAAGATATTTTAAAAAAATATGAAATGACTCATATAATCAGGTAAAAGGCATTAAAAGCAATCAGGGATTACCATTGCTGAAGAGCTTTTCAGCATTTTTCTAACTACACAGGCCTTCCATAAATCATGTTTTTATTAAAAATTATATGTACATAACATTTTGCCTAATGGAACAACTCACAGAAATGACCAAATGAAAGACTAAAAAGAACCAAATGAAAATCTTACAATAAAATATTTTAAACTTAAAAAGTGAATATAAGCTGAGTGAGGTGGCACAGGCCTGAAATCCCAGGACTGAGGAGGCTGAGGCAGGAGGACTATAGAGTTTGAGGCCGGCCTGGGTATAAACTGAGTTCAAGGCCAGCCTGGACTACATGGTGAGGGCCTGTCTCAAAAACCAAAAAGTAAATATAGAAGATTCAATAAAATCAAGCCTTGACGTTGAGTTTTAAATTTACTTTTTTAATTTACTAGCTACTATAAGGTGAAAAAAGTAATTTACTAAAGTGCATGTGAACACATAAGTACTAAAACTGACATTATCTAAGCAATATATGGCAGAACACTTATATAACATCTATTTCTAAACCTCAGCATTTATAAACAATATAAATATAGTATTTCTTGGCATAATGAATGTAAACTATTTTCTAAGAAAAATGTGGTTGTCAAGTCATTGAAGGTACGTTAAAGCAAGAAAATCCCTCATTTCCTGTGTTAACAGTTTCACGTTTTCTAAGTAGTCCAGTTATATGTATTATTATATAATGCTCTTAAAATATTAAAGATTATGTAATATCTACAACATAAGCAGTAGAAGACCTGTTGGGAAAAATGATGTAGAATAACCCATATTTCATTTGTAATCATTGAAATTACAATACAGGGTTTTCAGTTTGATAGCTGAATTGTGAAAATTGCAAGAGAGAAAGAGAAAGAAAAAGGAAAATGAATGCAATAAAGTGAACAGAGAATCACTATTGTATTTCCAATTCCACTGGAGAACTAGGTTGTACGAAGTTGAACTGCAATTGCACACAGATAATACACAGAACTGTGTGCTTTAACACATGTATTTGTTTGCAACGAGGAATGTCCCATTACAAAGGGCAAAGGAATAAACTACACAATCTGCTTTCCATCATGGCTCGCAAATCAAGACATGAATTTCTTGTATACGCTGGCAAGTAGCCCTATCAATCCTTTCAAAACCTCTATCCAAATCCCTTTTGATTGATGTTGTACACTGAAAACAAGGTATTTCCAAGAATGTGAGCTGCTGCTACAGGACACTGAAGGCCATACCCATTCCCCTGAACATCTTCTAAAGTTGTACAGGCCTGCAGAGTAAGAGTTACTGTGGGTTTTGAAGAAGGAATTTAGGGAAAGAAGAAAGGAAATACATGTACAAATTCCACCATTTTAAAGTAGCAATAACAATGTTCATTGGACTAAGGAAGAAATATCTTTTAGTTTCTAACACTGATTTAAATCCAGACTTCCTTACTAAAGCAAACCATTACATATCTGTACATTTCCATTTTTCTCCACCTGTGAACCTATTCTACTTTAGAGAAAATTCCCTATTGACTGTAAAACCTGATTTGCTTGTGTTTTATAAGTCCCAAACAACCTAAGTGTTGGTGAAGAAAACAAGGAGCAAAAGCGATCACAGAATAGTGTGACAGGCTATAAAATGCTGCTGTGTAATTGTTTCCCAGTATTTTCTGTTGTGCACAAAACCCTTCTATTCTTCCTTTATCCTGATTCCCATAATGCTATGGTTTAAGTTATATCCACACTAACTGTAAGAACCTTCAGGTTTTGGTGTTAATGTGTTAAGTTCAATAAAGAAAAGTTATAATCCTGTGGATATTTTAAGTCAGAGGCGAAATGGCCAAGGAATAATGTTAGGATACACAGCAGGACTGTTTGAAATCAACAATAAAAATCTCATTGACATGAGGTGAGCCGCAGGCGCAGTGGCTCGTGAGCAGGGATCCAAGGTCCCCATCGGCCCTGGCCGGCTGGACCCGGAGCCTGGGGCGGCGCAGGCGGCCGTCGGAACTTGACGCCTTAGCCCGCGCGGGGCTCGCTCCCCAGACTGGCTCAGGTGCTCACACCCTTGCTTTTCCATGTCAGATTTTGACGCCAATATATACAAATATACATAAAGATGATTACTAATATAGTAATACTGAGCTTGATCATTTGCGTTTCCTTAGTTTTCTGGATTATGTCAATGGCTGCTAGCACTTATTACGGTAACATACGGCCTATTTCTCCTTGGCATTGGCTGTTTTCTGTTGTTCCTGTTTTGATCGCCTATAATGGCTTTAAAAAGAAAGGTCTAGATCACAGTTATGGCCAGCAATTTCTAGGAATTTATTATAAAAGAATAATAGAACTAATATATAAAACGTCATGTTTACAATACAGAAAAACATAAATGTCCTTTCATAGGAAATGTGTTTGATATATTTCTAGAATGGGATATTATGCAGTGATTAAAAACGATGATGATGAATTTGAAAAAAAAAATCTCATTAAAATGACACCAAATGAGCACAGAAGATGGCAATTTCAACTGAGGCCTTTTGGCCAAGTAAAGGAGAAGGCAGCATTTACAAGGCCCTCCCGTAGTACAGTACATAGTATATGACACTTTTATGTTCTTCAAGGTTATTGAGCCACTATTTTCTGAAAGAACTTATTAGAAGTACTCAACTGATACAAAAACAAAAAGCTAGAAGCAGCTTTTTTAATAAATAAAATAATTTGGGCAAGGGATATAGCTCAGTGGTAAGAGGTCTTGCCAACCATGCACAAGGCCCTGGGTTTACTCCCTAGCATAGCAAATAACAAAGTAAATAAGTAAGTAAATAAATAGAAAATAGCTGGGTTGCAAGCCTGTGGTCCTAGCTACTCTGGAGGCTGAGATGGAGTTTGAAACCAGCATAGGCAATACAGTGAGAAAAAAAAATTGGATTTTTGCAATTATTTTAGGACTTAGCACAGCTTTGATTATGTGTTCCTTTGTGATTAGCAGAGATTGTAACATGAACAAAAGAGTGACTGTAGAACATAAGTACATTTGTGTAATTTCTCAGGCACTGATATAGAAGTCAACCATTAACCTACCATATCTTACTTGATACTAGGGAAAACACTACTTTTTTTTGTTTGCTTGTTTGAACCTATTAGCACAAATTCTTCAACTCTTTATTTTTTATTTTATTTTATTTTTTTGGTACCGGGGATCGAACTCGGGTCCTTGCGCTTTTGCAGCAGGCGGTGAAACCACTGAGTTAAATCCCCAGCCCTTAACTCTTTATTGCAAAAAAGGTTTTACCACTGTATTACACTATTAAAACTACCTCTAAAGGGTCAGGGATTTAGCTCAGTGATTCTGCAGCCTAACTCGCAAGTACAAGGACCTGAGTTTGATCCCTGGTACCAAAAAAAAACAAAAACAAAAATGAAAAAGTACCTCTAAAAAGTAATATGCTATTTAGGAAAAACTAATTGCTCAATTTGTGAATGTGTGCTTTATACACAGTGATAGCCACTTCTGATCAGAAAGGTATTAAAATAAAGCAGTCTTAGATGGACCAAGTTAGCATTAGAGAACTTCACTGACAAAGGAATTCTTCAGCCAAAGCCACCATGATATTGTTCATACACACACACACACACACACACACACACACACACACACAGACACAGACACACAGAGACACACCCCCCCCCCCAAAGGAAACTCCTAAATGGAGGGGAGCTTATGTCATCACTAGATGGAAGCTACACCAAGATATTTTTTCTTCCAATTTTGTTAGCAGCACACATAATTAAAATGCAAAGCATTTATACAAAGTGTTTAAAAACAAATTTTACTCAACTTTCAACTTTTTAACACATCATGCCTTGGGAAACACTGTAATCTGAATGCCAAGTACAGCTTTTCTTAGAGTTAATTTAAACCCCAACAAGCAACTTTTTTCTCAACTGGTATATTTCAGATATGAAAGTGATCTTTCAGGAATATTATTTAATAATCCTTATTTTCAATGGTTTAATTTCCTTTCTTCCTCAAATTCTAAAAAAAAAAAAAAAAATCAAAAACAAAAAACCCTAAGAACTAAGATCCTTAAAATAAAAAATTTAAACCACTGAAATAATCCTTTTTCCCAAGGGTTTCATCTGGCTTGCATTTCTGACCTGAAAAAACATTTCTATTCTCGAGGTTTCTCACTATGTATTATATTCTGAAATGGACAAAATACAGTAGTTTCTATGTTTGGTCTATTGTTAACTTTCATTGGTCTTTTCAGAAACTGTTTTCTTAAAAATGAGAATAGCTTAAAGCTTAATTTGTCTGACATATCTCCTAACATTGTTTTCAGAACTTGCCTTATGTACTATGAGTAAAAAAGCCTGAGGGTTGCTTCATACATTCTGAAGTTAGAAAGAATGATAATGCTCTACAAATATTGCATAATATACTCAATTTCAAACTCAAATAAATTGTAGTCCTGAAGACTTCATGCTCAGTGTTAACTGCACACTTTCCATACATAATCAGTTTAAATTCAGCTTACATTTACTGTGCTCAGAAGTCCATCTCAATACCATATGATGATTTATTTTAAGTGAAGCTTATAAATATCTCGTTATCTCTGTGTCCTTCTTTTCCCAACACTCAACTCTTACATCTTCTTCCTCACCTTCCTTTTCTCTTCACAATGTAACACCTAGTAGAGACAGGCACTCTACAATAAAATGTACTCCTTTCCTGCAGTGAAGAACATTTCTCTGTCCCTTATATAAAGTGGTGTAAGGTTTAAACTTTTTTTAGATTTAAAGTTCTCTCTTTCTCTTTTTCTTTTTGTAGTAACGGGGATCAAACCCAGGGCCTTACACATAAGCAAGCCCTCTACCACTGAGCTATATATACTCTCAGCCCTAAAGTCATATTTCAACCCAATGCCACATGAAGAACTTACACCAGTGGAATTATAAGAGACAAAGGCTAAAATGCATCAACACTTTCTTAGGAGACAGGTGTTTGAGGAAACAAAAGGGAAAAACCATCTACTCTCAAGGGATATCAATTGCTTTATACTTGCTTTATACCAGCCAGGAATTTCTTTGGTCTAATCCTGAAAAAATACAAATTACACACATCCTCACACTTTCAAAATATGCCAAAGAATTATTTATTAACACAGGACTTACAGATCACAAAAGAGAGTGGTACAGAAGAGCTGGAAAATATGTCATCAGAATAAGCATGCAGATCAGTATTGGCAGAGGAATATATGAAAGCAAGTTTGAAAAGGCACATTCACACGGAAAATATCTAAATTGAAAAAAAGACATCAGAAAAGCGGCCAAAAAAAATTAAGGCGCTGATTAAAATACAAAGATTTTCAATGTCAATGAAAAGCTACTGTACAGGTAGGTAGCTACAGAAGTCTTGCTAACCCTTTGAGAATGTCACAAATAAGGGTAAGCTCTTGCTGCCAACGAAACCAATGATCTCAATGACTGAACATCAAGGTACTTCAGTGCTAGAGAGATTAGTAGTGGGGGAAAGAACAGCCTAGTTGAAATTATATGCAGCAAGGGCTCAAAGGGTTAAATGTAATAATATGCAGAAAAATCAGGCAATGTTAGTACTATTTTCTATCTTCCATACAAAGAATTATAGCAAGAGTTAAAAGAGACAGTATCCTCTTCAGAGTTAAGTTAGGGTTTCTAAATAGGATTAAGGCCCACACATAGATATCTATTAGGTTTTATTCAGTCATCAGCCCACTTCTTACTTCTGTAACAAGATGTATGTTTAACCCTCACACTGAGAAAGCAAGAGATACTGTAGTGAATAGGAGCATATATTTAAATCACACTGCATTAAAGAAATTCCTGTCATATAACCTCTTAAATATATTTATGCAGCAATTTTGCTCCACAACAATACAGGTACAGCTCCTTGGTCAGACACCCCTTTAACAACCGCTCTAAAGGGATACTGCTCCTTTATGACAGGAGGTTTACAGATCAATGGGAAGAAACAATTTGCTTTTAAGAGTATCCTCACACTTGAAGAGAGGTGGCTTGAACATGACAAGTTCCAATCTAGGAATGTTCCAAACATACATAGAGAACATGAGCACAGATTATTTTAACAGGTCCATTAGAACAAGCTCAGTCAAAAAAACCAAGCCTCCTCCTCAAATAAAACAGGGGAGAAAAAAGACACCCCAAACTCAGATTACACTCATTTCATAAAGACATCTAGCTTGGCACTGTGAAAGAATATAGATTCGTTTTCAGAAAAATAGCTTCTAATTAATAACTTCAGAGTCCAAAGGCTAGCATACATGTTATGAGATTTTAAAAATGAAAATCAGAGTGTTGTTCAAAAAACAGAATACTCTGCAATCAACTGTTGTGGCTCAAGCAGCTCATACAAAAAAGAAAAGCAAAATCACTCTATCAAACAAATAGCAAAAAAATAGGAAATTTTCTGAAGAAAAGTATGAAAAACTCAAAAAGGAAATAGTCAAGGGCACAAGGAGCTCTTCAGACAGCCCACTGTGCTTAGAAAACACCTTAGCAAGTAGCAACATGAAACATGTAATGTCTGCTAACTTGCTCCTGATTCAGCACTCAGCTTAAAAAAACCTCCAACATTTCAATAACTAAAAGATGGATGCAATTTTGTTTTCTGACTCATCAATTTGATATATGCAAAAGGTATAGTACTTTACAATTTCAGCCTGAACCTGCAAACTTGGAAGTGTCTTACATGTCTCTCTCAGGTTAAAAAAACAAAAAACAAACAAACCCTTAGGATGCATAATATACTTTCTAGAATGATAAAGTAATATTGAGAGAGTTCTCATCATTAAAGGCCACTAAATAGGTTTATCTTTCTATATACATATTAAAAAACAAAACAAAAACTAGGACACTTGGGAATCTAGTTTTATGATAGGAAGTTGGACTAGAGAATAAATTGCTACATGTAAATCCACACAGAATTTAAAAAGGGCTCCCTAATAAGATGTTTCCAAACTTTTTATCAGAAAGTTAGTAGTTACCCTATACTAGCATCTACAGATTTGTTACAATGCAATACTTCCAGTAATAACATTCACACTTGAAAACATTACCTGTGTTCCACTAACACCACAGGCCTGCCTCCTTGTCAGACTATGACACACAGAACATCCACAAATACTGTCAGCTTTTTCCCCATTCCTCTTTTGAAGGGATGTGGCAAACTGCAGTAAAACTGGTTAGAAATTTTACTTTCTCAATCCAGTAAGAGTCAGTTTCTATAATAGAATACTGCATTGGCAGCTGCTAAAAATACCCAACAGAAGAAAAAAGGAGGGGGAAACATTTATTTTGCTCAAAGAAATGAAGAAACACTGCGAAAACTCCAAGTCTTTACAAAATTTCTGGCAATGTGAGGTTCATTTAGCAGTGGATTTCTGTGAGCCTCTGAACACTAAGTTGGTATTGGATTCCAAAAATAAAAATATCTTAGCTCTCAATCTAAGTTTCAGAGTAGTCACAGTATCAGTATATCCAAGTATCCATAGAATCAGATTTAACACTGTTTCAAAGAGACTGGCAACAAGGAGATTAAGTATTAGAAATTAGTAAAGGTAAAGCCTCACTCTTCTGTAAGTCAACACCCACAGAATCATCTTTGAAATCTACATCGCCATCACCAGAGCAATCTCACCAATTCCTCACCTGCAGCAGGAGGATGCTGGCCACTAACTGTTGGTAAATCCAAAGAGCTATCAGACATGACATGCTTAAGATCTCCTCCTACATCAGCCAATTTCATGTCAAACTGAACAGAGAGTGCATCTTCAGAGTCCTCCTTGCCAACACTGCTGCCACCAATGGAAGGGAGATCCAAGGACTTCACTGAAGCGGAGTCTTCTTTGGTGTGTCTGAAAGCCACTGCTTTCTCTGTCAGGGATTTGTCCGAGTTCATGGAAGAAAATTTATTGGAGTGGAAGTCAGCAAAATCATCCTCACTTTTTCCAGAAGGAGTGTTATCTTTTGATTCCTCCACACCTAGCCCAGCTCCTTCTAGAGAAAGTTGTTTGAAGACATCATACTTGGTAGATGTGGCAACTGGGTTCTGTGTACTCTTCACTGTGTTGCCCAAGTTGTTGGTCAGAGGAACAGGACTAGCTTCCTCTTTATGGACATCATATTTGTCATCTGCCTTTTGTTCAGATGAAACAGAACTATTACTGAAAGCCATAAAATCTGCAAAGTCATCCTGTTCCCCAACAGATGCTGGGCTAGAATATTCCCCAAAAAGGTTGAATTCATCAAAATCATCAGCCAAAGTAGAACTTTTATTTGATATTGGTGCTGATGTAGTTGCAGCAGAACCTGTTGGCTGAGGTTGTGCAGAAACTGATTTTGATGTACTGAATGCAGCTGAAAAAGACAATGGTTTCTCACTGCTACAATTAACTGAGGAAAACATATCTAGGTCTGCTAAGTTCAGAGGATTTTTAATTTGTGGTGGCTGTTTCTGTGGTATAGTTCCCACGGGGAAGGATGCTGGAAAAGGTTTGTCTTTTGTCGGTGGCTCTAGTGGTGATACACTATCGGCTGTTTTAAAATCGGTGAAACCATCATCAGTTCCTGCAGATCTAAATTCTGCAAAGCTCTCTCCTGAAAAAACAAAAAAGCAACAAAATAAATGCTAAACTGAAAACTACAGAATTTTCAGTATATTAAATTACAGATGTAATTTTATAGTCTTTCCCCCACTGGCTTGACATTCAGTAATCACAATCTAAACTCTATCAAACAACAGTGACAGAGAAATAGGTACCATGCTTGAAACTGTCTTCCTCTGGCTGGCCAGTCAAGTACAAATAAAAGAGAAATAGGGCCGGGGATTTAGCTCACTGGTTCCGCCGTCTGCCTTGCAAGCACAAGGTCCCAAGTTCGATTCCCAGTACCAAAATAAATAAATAAATAAATAAATAAAATAAAGAGAAATATGTGCTGTAGGTTTCTGAGAGAGACATACTATATCAAAACAGTGGCCCTTTATTTTTTTATTTTTAAATTTTTTTTGGCACTGGGGATCGAACTCGGGACCTTGTACTTTCAAGGCAGGCCCTGGAACCACTGAGCTAAATCCTCGGGCCTGACAGTGGCCCTTTAAAGATAAAGCATGTTACACACTGTTTAAAAAAATCTAAGGTACCAATGAAGCATTAGGAGAAGTGCATCTAATATTTAGGATGGATAACTCTTAAACAAATAATACTTTAAGAATCACTAGAGGCTGGGGCTGTAGCTCAGTGACAGAGCTTCTGTGTAGTACCAGCAAAGCCCTGGATTCAAATAACATCCAGTGAGCCCCCTCCCTGACAACAAAAAAAGAATCAGGAGACACTATGTGTCAAGTACACCAAAGGCATTAATTTGACAGGCACTTTGAGGGGAATTTTTGAAAAGGTAGCCACTTATTTGCAAAGCTTTCTGACAAAGGACACATTTCAAAGCACTCCTCCTTATACTCTCTAACAAATAAAGCTGAATCTCATAGAAAAAAAAAATCTGTGCGCAGGTGGGCCTTTCTTGAATCTAGTCATCTAATTGTACTGATAAGCATGTATTCTTAAAAATGTGGGCCATGAGTCTTAACAGGGTTTCTAGTCTCTATTATTATACTAATGTGATCACTCACAAGTACAATGTTAGGATGCAGATGATCTTAGTTTTCTAGTACTGTCTGAAAGTCCACCATAAAATCCATTAGGCGATAACAGATAATAAAAGCAAGAGAGAAGCCAAATACCAGCAAACATCCCTGTTATTTAAAACTTATCAATTGCCTTTTCTAGAGATTTATAAATTAAAATACAAATCTTAATTTCTTCAAAATTGGGTCTTCCCCTAAAAACAAAAAAACAGAACCATATGAACCATAAAAATGTATTTAAAATCAAAATCCAATTCTTAAAATTGGCATTTAAATAATGTAGGCTTTATATTGTACACATAACATGACATATACTCTGATATATCAGATGAGAAAAAGCATTGGAAACAATAGTAGTTGATTCTTACTCCCAATCTGATACTTAACCAACTCACTAGCAAAACTTATCAACAGAAATCCATCTAAAATGATTAGGGAAATTTTAGGGAGAGAACTAGCATTCAGATTTCATGTAGTTTATGTTTTAAAGACAGACCACTAATAAAACTAAGTCAATTTCACAAACTGAAAAGAAATGCAGAGGTAAACTTTAAAAAATTATAGAACTTTAGACAAGTCTATCACCGATTATGGAGGTGTTACTTCTGTAAATGAAAGGTAAAGAGCAGCTAATTTTATTAAAGCCTAAACTTTTGATGTGCTAGTTTGAAATATCTGTGAAATTGACAAGTTTTACTCTGTTATTTTTAAAAAGACATCACAGCAAACTAAACTTACTGATGCACTGTGCACTTTCCCATCAGAAATGCAAGCTGGGTGAAAGGGTTAAAAGGAAATGAAAAAGGGGAGGTTTGCAAATTCCAACAGAAGGGATTTTTGCGGGGGGGGCATATAAATTAGTTGCAGTCATTTGAAGACTACATATAAAAAAGCACATTAAACATATTATTTCATGGGTAGCTTTTCAGTTTGTGAATTCTTATATGCTTTCCTTTCTAATTTGTCATTTTTTAGGCCCTAAGAAACTTAAAAATGGACAACTTTTTGCTAAAACTTCAACATTACTTCTTTACATAAAACATTTTTCTTATCTACTTCGTCTTAAACTGTATAAGTAGTAATATGGAACTATCACTAAATCTTGTCATTCAGTAACGTAAAAAATTCATACCTCTGAATACAGTACTGATAAATTCCAAAACACTAATATACTTGGTTGAAGTTAAGCCAGTTTTCTTTCTTTTCCCCGTCTTTTCCTTCTTCCCCCTCTCTCTCCCTCTCTCCATCCCTCCTCTTCTTTCCTTTCTTTCCAGTGTTAGGAATTAAACCCGGGGCCTCACATATGCTAAGCAAGTGCTGTACCACTGAGCCACATCCTTAGTCCTAAGCCAATGTATTTTTGTTTGTTTGTTACTAAGGATCAAACTCGGGACCTTGCGCTTGTGAGGCAGGCGGCAGAACCACTGAGCTAAATCCCTGGCCCAGCCAATGTATTTTTAATGAGAGTACTCAAAAGGTGGCATATCATTTAGGAGAATAAAACATTTTCCCCTAAAATGAACAAAACTAGCTACTCCACTCGGAAGGCTTCAGAATTAAAGTCAAGCTAGGAATGAAAGTGAGCAAACAAAAATGACAATAATATGGGAGTTTGTTAAGGCCTAAGAAAGCAGGACTGAGGTACTGTTTACATTTTGGTGGAACCACTCTCTGTCTCTATATTATCTTTTATAGATATAACATATACATACGATCACTGACACTATTACACAAAGAACCCTCATGTTAAACCATGCTCTTTACTCCAATATTGCCTTGGCCCAAGAATTAATGACAGCATTGCTCAGAGTAAATGAAAACAAGTCAAAAGGTCCTCTAGGGTTCATTTTTGTATTCTTAGTGACTAATACAGATACTGAAGAAAAAATAGTTTTTATATCCCAAAGGCTTCGATGAATACAAGGAAACATTTCTGGAATCTAAGAGCTACAAGGTATTGAATATTCTTTTTTTTTTTTTTTTTTAGTACCGGGGATCAAACTCGGGACCTTGCGCTTGCGAGTCAGGCAGCAGAACCACTGAGCTACCCTGGCCGGGGATTGAATATTCTAAGAGGTGGCTTACTCTTTTTAGAGATGTTTAAGCAGCATAGTATCTACCACACCTTACTCATATTTACCCCCTTCCCTAAGCACAAGAGTAGACATAAGTAACTGTTGAAGGATGTCCCAACTTTAGTACATAAAGATAGAAGGTAGTATGGCTCCCAGAAGAAAATCCTCATTAGAGTATACACATTTCATAACATGCACAGTTAAGCTCTGGAGGACATAACTTGACCTATGGGTTATCTAAACACTATACATCAAGTTTACAGCGCAATTTAACCACAAACACTGACTTTCAGTTTTTACATATATGGCTTTCAAGTGATCCTTTCATACTCCCTTCCACTCTTCTTAAGCTCTTCTATCAGAGATGATAATGAGAAATGCACATAAAACCCACACCCAATCTTGAAAATTCTGCACAATGGTGACTAAGTCAAACACAAGTAACACACAGTGACAGACTGCCTTTTCTTCCTAGATGAGCAAGTAGACGATTAATTGTTTTTGGAGTATTTTGCCATACTGGGGGATCAAATCTAGGGCCTTGTGTATGTCAGACAAGGACACTACCACTGAGCTGTATTTTCAGCCCTGGATGATGAAATACTGATGTCAGCATTTTAGACATATTCAGGGGCACAGTGTTTAGCTACTGTTTCTGTTTGAAATTCTGCTTTGTTTTAGTTGTGGTCTTGAAGGTTTGAAATGTTACTTGGCAGCTCCTTTCTTTCACAGAGCTCTCACCATGAAAACATGAAAGATCTTGTTAAAATACTAATAACATTGAGTTTTATTTGCCTCCTCTTGGTCATCTTTACATGAATCCTTTTTTTTTTTTTTTTTTGGTGGTACTGGGGATTGAACTCAGAGCCTTTGCACTCTGCTACATCCCCAGCCATTTTTCAGTTTTTTACAGTGGACTCTCAAGTTACGACCAGTCTGACATACGAACAAGCTGGGTTAATTAGGTTAATGGAAGATTCATCTGCCTCTTTTTATCTACAGCATGTACCCAGGTAAACATCCAGATTTCAGCTGCACTGACTTAGTTACAACCAGCCCTCAGGAACCAATTGAATTTGTAAGTCAAAGGTCCACTGTATTTTCAGACAGGGTCTTGCTGAGTTTCTAAGTTGTCCAGATTGGGCGCAAACTTGAGATCTTCCTGCCTCAGTCTCCCAGAATGCAAGGATTATAGTTATGTACCAACACATTTGGCTTGCTTTTTTGTTTGTTGAGACAGACTCTCTTTTATGTAGCTCAGGCTGGCCTTGAACTTGAGGCAATCCTCCTGCTTCAGCCTCCCAATTGCTGAGATTACAGGTAAGTGCCACCATGCCTAGCTACCTGGCTTGCTTTTAAATGACTTTTAGCTGATGTTCATGAGGAGCAGAGTGTATACAGAACTGTGCTACTGGTGAAGGGAAATCCTATCTAAGAGTGCATCTCTTTACCAAAGCTGTATATATCATTTGTTGGGTCCTCTGCTGGAAATGTAGATCAAGTCTCAAGGCTTTTATTTTTGGTAGTGGTGGTGGTGGTGGTACTAGGGGTTAAACTCAGTCTTAGCACTGAGTTACACTGCCAGATCTTTTTTATTAAATATTTTTATTTTGAGATAGGGTCTTGCTAAGCTCCAGACTGTCCAGGATGGACTTGAACTTTTTTCCCCAGTACCAGGAATTGAACTCAGGACCCTGAACTTGCCAGGCAGGCACTGCACCACTGAGCTACATCCCTGGCCCATTGGACTTGAACTTTTGATCCTCCTGCCTCAGCCTCCCAGAGTGCTGGGATTACAGGCATGTGCCACAATGTCTAGCTTCAAATGATGCACATTTAATTGTATCCTCTAGCATTATTGATATGATAATACTGTATCATCTCTCTGTGAATGTAAAATATTTTGTACCTGTTCTTAGACGTAATGTTAGTCTAGAATGTTCTATTTCCAAATGATAATTGAGAAACTAAAAATATACCAAGCAAAAATAATGCCACGTACCACAATAGTAACAACAACAAAAAACCTGGAAAGGGAAAGACTGGCGGCTGCCTTTTGCACAGTCCAGACTAATATACTATGAACAACAGTTCAAGTCTTGCTGAACATTCCAATAATCAACATTAGTCACTGTCCATTTGTTACAGACTTCCCGAGAAAGGCAATGTACTATACTGTCAGAGGAAATAGCACTGACTTGAGATTTGCTGTAAATTTTAGAAATACAGTAATTCTCAATAACTGAGCCACATTTACCTCCTTATAATTTTCAAAGCCACAAAAAATAAAGATGGCCCCTATTCCACAAGATAATCCCCAGACTTCAGAAACTATCAAAACATTTATTAAACATGCCAGTAGTGGGAACCCTTAAGGTTTTCTCAATTAAAATATTTGCAGTTTGAGTATCACAAAATCACCATATTATTTTACTTGTTCAGTTTTTTCCTTTTAAAAACATACATACAGTAAAGTAAGTGTTCAAGAGTGCCCCAGAAAGAAACATCCAAAATTCCCATTAACAATGGAAATAATGTGTCTACTTCAGGAATCAAAAACTTACCCAAAGATTTATTTTCAATTGTCTGTTCAAGTTCTCTGAAAGCACTATATTTGTCACCAGGCTCTATGATGGAAAGACAGATGCTCAATTATGGGTAGGAATCTTTAGAGCACAGTTCAAGGAACTAAGGCAGACTGGGTTAACTAAACATACTTAACATGTGGTATGAGTATTTCATACATTTCATATAAAAGGTTACCTCTTAAAGATTTATACAACTTGTTACATTCATAGATTTACTAACTTACAAACTGTTTTTACCTCCAAAAGGAATAGTATTTTCAGAGGACTTGTCAGCTGCAATTCCTTTAAACACTGCATATTTATCCACTGAAGCTGATGTTTTAGTTCCTGTAAGTGGTATCAACAAAGATGGGGTACTAAAAGGAAAAAATAAGCAAGTATTAATGACAAGAACAGCAAATCCTTTCCTTATTATCAAACAGGAGCTTAGAGTTAAAAATGGCAAACAAGGAGTTAAAACTCACAGGTCCCTGCTTTAAAAGTCAGAAAGTATAAGTAAAAGGACTAAAAACACTGTCCTTTGTCTTGAAAATAGAAGTTAAAACAATGTGCAAGCAGTAATGTTTTTCTTAACTAAAGAGGGGCATTGATCATTTCCATATCTCTTTAAGTCATATGTAATGAACTAGAAATGGCACTGAAATAGATTATTAAAATATGGTGACCTCCTGCAATTTAACTTAAGGTCCATAAAACTGTAAAAATGAACTGCTTCAAATATGCATATGCAATATCTTCTTAATCCAGTATCTTAAAATAAATTACATTAACCTTAATATAAATTTTTCTCTAAAGTGAGTTCCGAGTGCAGAGGTGGAATAGTTAAGATTAAAAAATCTATTTGTGAGATGTTCAAGACAACATGTAAATTCTCTTTCGATCATATTGCATTGCTTATTGGTGGAAGTTCATACATCTGATAAGCAACAGCAGAGTTAATATAATTTGCATTTTTACAAGGATCACATCAGCAGTTCCAGAAGCTATCTTTTGTAGCAAAACAACAATCACTTCAAAATTAGATAGAGATACTATTGCTTGTGGACATATTTTTCACTGGATGGAAAAACAGTGTAATGAGTAGTATCTGTGTGGGTAATTCTTGGAAGGCTTGAACATATGCTATCAAAGCACTGCTCTTTTTTTCCTTTTTCCTCTTATCAGACTCAGGCAGCTCCCTGGAAGAACAACCTTTACATATGAATGACTACATCCTACCACCAGTTTGTGTCATTCAATACCACACACACAAGTTATATAAATGGATTTCTATTGAAATCTTTGCCCTGGAGCAAAAATCTTTCCACAGTCATTTAAATCTTCTTATCAGTAGCCTACAAGCAAGGTAAAAGCCAGGCTCTCACACATACATGCTAATGGGGGTCCACGGTGCTTTAGGATTTAGTGCCATGAAATATTAAAATTTCAAATCACTACCAAACAGCTGCTACATATCTGATCTTGACAAATGTAGTAGGTTATCATCTATACATTTTAGGTGGATTTTTAAAAGTTCCATAAGTAATTAAACTACAGCTCACTGTATAGAATGATACATAGGAATAAAGATAATCAGTGTCTAAGGATAAAAACCCCACAAAATGGAATGATCTGCATACTTGTTGTCTATGACCCTCCAATTTTAGCTATGGTCCTTTACAGCTCACTGGTATAATCTTACTACTTAATGTGACATTTAATTGAAGATAATTTATCTAAAAATTATATTCATAGAATTGAAAAAATTAGGAGATCTGAGTATGAAGTACTGCTGATTGAAATCAACAAAATAAAAATTCCACTCAAAAAGAGTTTGGCTCAAACTATAATTTTATGCATATTGCAAATGAATGTTCATTCCCGTTCTCTCTCTAAATGTATTAAAAAAAGACTATAATCACCATCAAAGTGTTTATGCCAGTTATATACAGTAGTTATGATTTATTCTAAACATGAAAACAGTTATTTCTACTATTTAATACTAATCAAAGTACTCAAATGAGAGAGGCATATTGTATTAAAATTTATGAACCTGCATTCCACTGAAAGACTAAGAATATGTGCATCAAAAATGTATTTTGCTTTTTTTTGGTACCGGCGATCGAACTCAGGTCCTTGTGCTTGCAAGACAGGCGGCAGAACCACTGAGCTAAATCCCTGGCCCTGTATTTTGCTTTTTCACTAATGAATCCATTTATGTTTTGTGATCTATGGCTGTGGTAGATGGCTTTTCTTAGTTGCTCACCCTGCTAAGTACAAACGTTTCAAGAGAAATATTTTCATCTCAGCAAAAACAAACTGACCAATCCCAACCCCCTATAACTTAACCCTTTTGGAATTTTTCTATCAATTCCTATGTCTTCTTTGTTGGTTATTCTAGGCTCTCTAGTGCCTGGCACACTGAAAATATTTTCTGAGTATACAACTGGATGTTGCTGTATCCCAAGCCCCTTTTCATATTTTAGGATCTGGCTCAATTGCTATCTCTTCTCTAACATTCAGTTAGAGTAATACTGAGTCCAACTAGTTTTTCAAACATAGAGTTCAGTGTCTGTAAGTCTAACTCCAGAGTGTCTCTCATCATCTAACAACAGGATTACCACAGCTGCTGAAGGGATCCCCACATAGCAGCAACAATTCCTCTCATCATGCCACTTATTCCCAAAATGCTCTACAGATTTCAGCACAAATCATAAAGTATTCCACAACTGGGGCTACTCTTAAACTCATTTCCTCACCAACTAACAATGTTCTCTACCACTCTCTAATACCTTATTTACTTTTGCATCTTTTCTCACAGATGATGCCCATTTTCTGCTTTAAAAGCACTACTCGGCCGGGGATTTAGCTCAGTGGTTCTGCCACCTGCCTCACAAGCACAAGGTCCTGAGTACAATCCCTGGTACCAAAAAAAAAAGCACTACCCAAAGTGGTTTCACCTAGGCTTAGCTGGTCATAAACCTACTTTTTTTTTGATACCGGAGATCGAACTCGGGTCCTTGTGGTTGCTCAGCAGGCGGTGAAACCACTGAGCTAAATCCCCGGCCCCATAAACCTACTTTTAGCATAAATTCACAATAAGGAATACAGATTTTCATACATGAGGGTACTCATTTTTTTCTTGTGAATATATAACTTTATTTGAAAATAGGATGTGATCAAGTTACTATTTATAAGGTCTTCAGGGTAGGGCCCAATCCAGTCTAACTGGTATGTTTACAAGACAAAGAGAACATCTTGTGAAGACAGTAAAAGGTTGAAGTGGATCTCACTGCAATCCAAGTACTGATGGCCATCTCCTAAAGCTCAGTAAAGGCAAGGCCAGATTATATTCAGTGTCCCAAAGAAAACATGAATCTGTGAAATCTTGATTTCAAACACCTACGTTTCAGTACTGTGAGGAAATACAATTCTGTTGTTTTTGTTTTTTCTTTTAGTTTCTTTCATTAGTATATGTTTGTGATGGGAATTCATTTTTTGTATGTATAAATGTGTGTATTATATATACGCAGATGTTCAAGTCTCTCACATAAAACAATTTAGCATCTGTATATAATCTATGAACCCCCTCCCACATACTTTAAATCATCTCCAGGCTTATAATACCCAATACAATGTAAATACTACATGAATATTTGTTAGGCTGTACTGTTTATGGAATAAAGACATGAAAAAAGTATGCATGTTTATTAAAGATGCAATTTTTTTTCTGAATATTTTCAAATTGCACTTGGTTGAATCTGCGGATGCAGAACCCACAGAAATGGAGGGCTGACTATATATTTAAGAATGAATTATAAGGGAACTTTAACAGATAATATAAATACTCAGGCATGGTGGCTCACATCTATAATGCCCAGCATTGGGAGGCTGAGGCAGGAGGATCCTAAGTTCAAATCCTGCCTCAGCAACTTACCAAAACCATCTCAAACTAAAAAAAATAAAGAAGGCTGGGCATGTAGCTCAGTGTAAAGGCCCTAGGTTCAATCCTCAGTACCAAAACAAAAACAAAAAACACCAAGAAAACAACCTAAGTTTCTCTGTAGTAGCAAGTAGTTTCTGCTTCTGTATTTTCCATGCCTTACCCCAGTGATGTTTGGCATCACTTAGGAGATGCTAAGTATATATTTGCTGAATAAATAATGAGTCTGGATGTTTAGATATGAATAGAATTCATTCAAGAAAAACATGGAAATAGTTGAATCAGAACTCTAAAAGGAACATGTACCAAAAATGGTTGCAATGATTGTATATGAAAGTAAACAAAGAGATAATATCTAACAAGATTGCTAGTAGCCCATACCTCTCAGGTCTGGCCACTGTCTTAAAACTTTCTACCCCTAATTGTTTTTTCCTAACCCCCTCCCCCAATTTTAACTTCATCTACTGAAAGAGATTTTCACCCAAGGAACAAACCATTAACTTGACAATTTTAGTTTACAGTCCCCATACAATAATATATTCATCCAACAAAGCTTTACTAGTTACATTTCATGGGCTAAGCACTGAATATAAAAAATAGTCAAGAAAACCTGTAATTACAATTCAGACACTGATATTCCCAAGGTACTATGAGAGTAGAGGAGGACCTTTAATTCACTTGAGGTAGGGACTGCTGGGAAGGGGTTAGGAAAAACTTAGCTGAGTTTTGAAATGGAATAAGAATTAATTATAAAGAGAAAATAGAACATACAAAAGCCAGAGGATTGAAAGCATATGGTCATTTTGGCATGGCTAGATTATGAGTTGTGCAGAAAGGTGTTGGACATCCTAGTACTGTATAGTCATATCTTTTGTATGTTTCTTCTACGGAGTGCTGACATGTGTCTGATGCATTCCTAACATCAGAATAATCTGTCTTCCTCATTTGTAGTTCTCTATCACATGCATTCCTTAGATCCTAGTGTGAACACAGGGAAATGAAGATCAAAAAACAATCAATTAAAATGCAAGATAAGAAACTGCAGAAACAAGAACCTGAGAGAAAGATATTCTGACAGAAACTAATCTCAAAATGAAGCCAAATCATATTGCTTAGCAAAAGCCCGTATGTTCCACTGTGTGGAAGTATTTAAATACTTAAAAAGAAAAGAGGAGGGCCGGGGATTTAGCTCAGTGTTTTTGTTGCCTGCTGCGCAAGCACAAGGACCCGAGTTCAATCCTTGGTACCAAAAAAATAAAAAATAAAAAATAAAAGATGAAAAGGTGTCAATAACATATTGATCAATTCACTTACTTGGAGGTTAAGCTGTATTTAGAGAAATACAACTGTCTATGCAAACAAACAGAAATCTGAACATTAAAAGCCACTAATGTCAAACATGACACATGAATAAAGCAGAGTTGTAAATTATGATTTCTGTGGAATTTTAGTACATTATGAAATTATATACTTCTGCCTAAAAAGCTTTTCAACAGTTGAAGTCCTGGATATCTAGTACAAGAACATGCAGGCAGCCATCACTGTACAGATGTACTCAACTATAATAAATCAGGTTTAGCACAGACAAAAAAAAAAGCAAATATGCATTAAGAGGCAATGTTAAGGTCTAAATTTTAAGGTGGAAAAAGAGCAGAGAAGTTCAAAGAGTAAAAGTCTGAGTAGATGGAATAATCAAGGAAAGTATTAATGTCAGAAGTCTTCTTATTTATAGGTAGGCTGACACCCTTTTTCAAAAAGATTACATATAATGTTAAGTACGTTCAACTCTTTTATACCTGTTTGCATGCTGGGAATTATTTGTTTTTGAAGAAGTAGGAACCTCTTGGAAATCAGTGAATGAATCATCAAGAGATCCTGACTTAGAAGCATCTTGAAAATCCTGGAACTCATCATCTTCTGGCTTTCCAATCTAAATTAACAGAGACATTTACTTAGAAAGCATCAAACTGATAAAATAAGTAAAACAAATCTCCAGCTGTCAACTTCAAAGACTGCCATTTACATTTCTCAATTTAAGAACATTTTTTTTTTACAGTGCTAGGGATCAAAACCAAAGGACTATGGGGCTGGGGATTTAGCTCAGAAGTTTCGACACCTGCTGCGCAAGCGCAAGGACCCGAGTTCGATCCCTGGTACCAAAAAAAAAAAAAAAAACCAAAGGACTATGCATGCTAGGGAAGTGCTCTACCATCTAGCTACTCTCACAGTGAATACCTTTTAGATATAACATTAACTCAAGTGCTTAAGGTGGGAATCCTGTTTTGCATTTTCAGATACCCAAATAACAAGAGGAAAGGACTGGCTTAACTCACTTCCCATTTAGAAGAAAAAGCATAGCTTACTGCCAGCATTCATTTTTGGGACAAAAGGGAAATTTAAGGAGCCAGACTGTCCATTTAAAAAAAATAGTTGATTCACATTTTATGCATATTTATAAATTACAAAAGTGACAGAGGCACATCATAACCAATTACATATATTATAAAGTAAACGGTAAAATACTGACTCCTAAACTCATGCTCCTGAAAATACTGTTGCTTTTTTTTTTTTGGTACCGGGGATCGAACTCAGGACCTTGCACTTTCGAGGCAGGCAGTGTAATCACTGAGCAAAATCCCCAGGCCCTGAAAATACTGTTACAAATCTGTTTTATAGAACAACAAGCTTTCTCTATATTGTTCTGTACTTTAAAAATATGTAATTGTGGGGCCAGGGATTTAGCTCAGTGGCACTGCACCTGCCTGCCTTGCAAGTACAAGGTCCTGAGTTAGATCCCCAGTACCCAAGTATTGGGGGTAGGGGTGGGGGTTGAGAATGGGGGGAATGTAATTGTAACAGATATCCTATGTAGTACAGGTAAGTCTATCTTAATGACTAATTCATCACTGTATAGATGAATTGATACTTATTTAACATTTTTTCCTTCTGATGTACATTTAGCTATTTCTAATGTTTCACCCCAACATTGTTACAATAATTATCCTTTGTATGTATTTGCTAATTTGAGATACTATTTCTGGTGGATAGATTCTTAGTAGTGAAGCAGTACTTTGAGAAGCTGAGGGAGGAAGACTGCAAATTTGAGCCTAGGCTGGGAAATACAGTAAGTCCTGGTCTCAAAACAAAAATTAAAAAACAGGTTCGGGGGGCTGGGGATTTAGCTCAGTGGTTCCACCACGTGCCTCACAAGCACAAGGTCCCGAGTTTAATCCCTGGTACCAAAAACAAAAACAAAACAGGTTGGGATGTAGCACACTGAAAAAGCCCTGGATTCAATCACCACTACTTAAAAAAGAAAGTTATACCAATAAATTTGCAGTGTATTAGTCACTCATCCCGTATATTTTCACTGATATAAAATATTATACACTTAAAATTTTTTTTTGCTAATCTGAGAAGTGAAAAAATGGAGTATTTTAATTTTGGGTTTGGCAGTTTCCTCAAAAGATATAACCTAAGCATTTAAATTTATAGGTTTCATGTTTAAAATGTACATACTCTAAACAGCTATAAAACTCTTTACCCAAAACTCAGATTTTAATGCTTAAGAAAACTTCATAATTTTAAATAATGAAAAGTTAAGTTTTGTACTGATTTAACATTTTTCTTATTTTTTTCTGGTGTTGGGGATGATTGAATTTAGAACCTTGTGCATGCTAGGCAAGTGCTATATCACTGAGCTCCCTCCCAGCCCAATACTGTTCAATAAAATCACATATGTTCATTGCAATCCAGATGCACTTTCAGGGATTATTATACAGTTTTTCCACTTACCTGATTTGTTGGGTAAGTTGGCATAAAGCCACTGGAAGCTGGGGCTGCAGCTCCACCCACTGGTCCAACAAGGTTAATGGCCACGACTGGCTGTCCAAGGCTGAGAGGCATGGAGCTTGCAGGGCCTGAAGGTATTACAGGGGCCTGACTCACAGGGGCAGGCAGAGTCATAGGAAAGCCACTTAAGGTTGGAATAGGAGCTGCTGGGAACTGAGTCAAAGCATCAGGACTGATGGCAGGAACACCTCTCTATACAGAACAGAAGGAAAACGGAACCATTTTAGGGGACTGCAGGCCACAATCTAAATCTGGTAAAGAGAGGCCTAAACATAAAATCTTTAGTTTTCATATTGTTTCTACTGACTCTTTTTCTGACTCTCAAAATTCATGAATTTGATATAAGAAAAAAGTAACTAGGATAATGCACACCTAATACTTAGCAAAGAAATAGACAACACATAGTAACTCTGACAATGCATTTCTCTGACAAGTTTGGTTAATCTTCTATAATCAAATAATTTAATTTTGTAATATAAGAAAAAATTGCTATTAGACTGAGAATACTTTATGTCTAAGGAATTTTAAACAGACTTTAAAGGGCAGAGAGAACAATTTTACCTATTTCTAACTTTCAAGTTCAAGGCCAGAGAATGTTAGTATATTAGTCTTTAAACAAAAGAATAATTTGCTAGTATGTGCATCAAATAAACTACATTTTTGAAGTATTGTATCCTAAAAAATAATCTAAAATTTAATGTACAAGGGGTTCTATAAGATTGTAGTAAAAAAGGATTCACATTCTTTCAATTAATACTAAAAGTTATTTGATCTAACTTAAGAAACACTGTCTACCTGTGTTACTGCTATCATGGCGAGAACAGTATAAAGTTCTTCCTTAGTAAGTTTGCCAGGTGTAGTTCGATTAGCTAAGGCCCATATCTGTCCAAGAGTTTCCCTGGGAAGTCCAGACGACATCAGAATGGGATAAAGTTTAGCAGTATCTATTCCAGTGGGAGTCATTGTAGTTTCTAAAATTTTCTTATATGCATCTATTAAAGGAAAGAAATATAAACACATTGTTAGTGATAGGTACTCTTGTCACTGCTGGCATAAAAAGTAATCTTCAATCAGATTGCTGTAATGGAACGTAAGCCATATCTGAGAGCTTTGTTTCTGTTTTGTTGGCTTTTTGAGGCAAGGTTTCACTATACAGTCCAGGTTGACCTCGAACTTGCTATGTAGCCCTTGAACTTGATCCTTCTGCCTCAGCCTCTTGAGTGCTGGGATCACAGACACGCATCATAATGCCCAGCCACATCAGGGTTTAACTTGCTGTAAAGAAATTGAAGTGGAAATATCCAGCAGATAATTAGGATCTGGAGCTCAGAAGAGAGGTGGGAGTTTGGTCCTAAAGATGAGAATTTAGGAGTGATGGTAAGATACAGTCTTAAAATCCACTAGGCGATTCTAACAATGATTTACAATTTTATAAATTTTTTTGGATAAAAACAATAATAATATTAAGATGGGGGAGGGTATAAGCAGATACAGTACTGTACTTTGAACTTCAAAAGAGAAGAATCTATAGAGTAATGATGGTGGAAAAAGCTTGATAATAGCAATGGGAAACAAGAATTATACCAATACCACCTTTTTCTTGGCCCAATGAATCAAAGGTTGTGGGAGCACACACCCCCGAAGGAGGTGCTTTGGAAATATAGTCTTCAGGAAAAGACCTGATTACAATTAAGGTGAGGAAGTAGAACCAGTGTTTGAAAACAGGGAGGGACTACTGGTGAGTTTTTCACAGTAACACAAGATTTCCAAGGGACAAAGTGGGAAAGGCTGTTAGAAATAAGCTTGGAATAAAAAATGAAGGATGCCAATATTGCATGGGACATACTTACACTAAACAATTATTTGCAGTTAATCTGAAATTCAAATTTAACTGGGGATCCTGTATGTTTATACATTAAATGTGGCAAGCCTACTTAGATAAGCTGTTGGAAATAAAAGTGAGACTAAAGGAGACAGAGAAGAATGTTTATAACAAAAACTTTACAACTGGAATTATAAATATGGATTATAGGTTAGTAGGCTGGCAATAAGAATATATATTTTGACCTGGAAAGTACAGTATGTGTAAATATTTGGAGGGAGGAGGAAGGAAGAAATATAAGCTGACAGAAAATGGATAAATTAGAAAATACACTAAGATCTAGTTTTTGTTTGTTTGGCTTGAAGAAAGAGGAGAAAGAAAAGATGTAAAAGGGTAGCTAGAAGAAAACCTATTATTTTTATACAACTGAAATTCCATGTGACTTTTGGGAATAATTAGCCTTTTAATTTGTGATTATTGTAATATAGACATTAGCAGTATAAATTCAGCTATAGAAATCTTGCGTAAGTTTTATTTAATCAAGTGTAGAATAACTTTAGTCTATAACCAGTTTAGAAAATTGAAGATCTAATGAAAGTTACCTTTAGCTTTCAAGGTGTTGGCAATATATAGTAAGTTAAACAAGTTACAATTTATTAAGGTCAACAGATGCTGCTGTAATTGTCTTTTTCTATGCATATCAATCTAGCTTAAATAGACTATTCTCTACCAATTAAGTACTAAGATGCACTTTAGTAATCTTTTCTGGTTCAACAGTAGTAACTCACATAAAGGAAAAAAATAAACCTTACCTTCCAGTAGAAAAAAATAAACCTTACCTTCTAGTATTTTACTTGACAAATCATAAAATATAAAGTAATCTTTGAGAATTCAGAAAATTACATTAAGCATACTAGTGTAATTCTTGATGTTATTAAGAGTCTCTGCAATAAATATTTGATGTCTTTTTTTTTTTTTGGTGGTGGTACTGGGGATTGAACCCAGGGGCACTTTGCCTCCGAGCTACAATCTCAGGTGCTTTTATTTATTTAAAAAAAATCTTTTTTGGTACCGGGGATCGAACTCGGGTCCCTGTGCTTGTGCAGCAGGCGGCAAAACCACTGAGCTAAATCCCCGGCCCATGTCCTTTTATTTTTGATTCTGAGACAGGTTCTTGCTAAGCTGTCCAGGTGGGACTTGAATTTGCAATCCTTCTGCATCGGCTTCCCAAAGTGTTGGGATTATAGGCAAGCACCCTGGAGCCTGGCTGATAATGTCTTTTTGAAGCATGGTGGCACATGCCTGTAATCCCAGCATTTGGGAGGCTGAGCTAGGAGGATGGCCATGAATTCGAAGCTAGCCTGGGCTGCACAGTGAGTTCAACAAGAGCCTGAACTACATAGTGAGACGTTGTCTCAAAGGACAATAAAATAAAATAAAGAAATCTTCTAGAAATAAAGATAAGGGCCAGGATTTAGCTCAGTGGTTCCGCCGCCTGCCTCACAAGCGTAAGGTCCCGAGTTCGATCCCCAGTACCAAAAAAAAAAATTGGGGCCGGGGATTTACCTCAGTGGTTCTGCCACCTGCCTTGCAAGTACAAGGTTCCGAGTCCAATCCCCAGTACCAAAAAACCCCCCAAAAACAACAAAAAAAGCAAAACCAAAACCTGTCATGAATAGAAATAAAGATATATGATGGTCAATAAAATACTAAAGCAAAACATTTCTCTGCATTTACATAATTATTTCATAAACAAGGGAGTCCTAAACACCAGATCTATCGAATTTTCTATACTCTTTCAGAAGAAAAAAGTCACAATTCATTTTGTATATTTTGTAACCACAATAGTTAATATAACTATATGTATAATATTTAAAATAAAACATCCAGATGGGAATTCTGGGCAGTATAGCTTTTTTTTTTTTTTTTTTTTTTTTTTACCTGGAACCAGACTCTCATTGTAGATCCAGGGAGGCATTCTGGGCTGAACAGGATCTTGTGCGGGAAATACTCCTACACCTAGAAAATAAAGAATATTAAAGCATGTAACAGTCCATGTAGAAGATGCCGAAATCATACTGAGTCATGGCTTTTTATAAAGAAGACCTCTGGCTGGAGACAGTAGGAAAAAGTCACCAATACACCTAAAATACTTGGTTTCTAAACAACTTCTGTTCAGTAACATCTTCTCAAGAGTAAACCAAACTATAACGTATCAAAACAATATTCTGAATCATCTGAGGCTTGTACCATTTCAAATGTATTACAAATTAAAGGAAAAATATGATAGTGGCTTAAAATTTTTAACTGTCCAAGCTTTATCTGCAGCTTTTAATAATGCTTCCTTGCAAAGTTTGACTTTTTAAAAAAACCTGGACATGACACTGCTGTGTTAGGTGTATTTTTTTGTCCAGTAAAATATCATCCAGAAGTTTGACTTTAGGGCACCCACATTCTAATTCATGGCTGCAGACTAAGTTTATAAAATTTGGAATATTTTTCTTTTTTTTTTTTGTACCAGGGATTGAACCCAGGGTGTCACACATGCTATGCAAGTGCTCTACCACAGAGTTCCTCCCCAGCCCCCAAATTGGGAATCTTGTAGGCAACAATGCATATCATTTATTTCAGGGAAAGCAAACTCACGCTCTCATTGGTGACTTTTCCAGTTACATTTGAAATTTTCAACTTTATGGATGAACAGAAAGTGAAAGGGGGAAGAAAAGAACACATAAAATAAGAGGAAAGGAAATTTTAAATCAGGAATGATTCTGATGAAGACAAGTGATTATCAAAATCATTTTTTGAAAAGGAATAATATAGTGTGTTGTAAAAACTCAGAGCAAAATCTTAGGGATTAATTGGAGAAAGGATTACATTGAATATATTTTAAGCAAATTTTTCATTAGCAAAATCAAGCAGCATTCATTTTAAGATTAATGCTTAAGGTGTTAGCATTTGAGCGACATTTGGTTAAACAAATTTTTGCTGAATGATTCATGAGCTCACCACTCTCTTCAATTGACAGGTTTTGGTCTGAAGTCTTTTCTGCCTCTGTAGTGGAGGCACCACTTACACATTCATCTACAGCAACCCCACTATTGGCTGTTAAACTGGGTTGGTTCTTACTGGAAACTTGGCCCAGGGCTTTGTGCCCAACTTCAGATGTATTTAATTTAATTTGTTCCTGCCCAGATGTACTTATGTCACAAGATACTAGTAGCTTCTCCTCCAAGGGTGGGCCTAAACAAACAGCATGAAGAATTACTTGTATATAACTGCATATTTCTAATCTTTTAAATCATCCTTTTGCCACCCATATTCTAAGGGTAAGGCCCTGCCACACATAATAATCCAAGCACTACCCATTTGAATAGTACTTCAGAGACTAGAAATTTTGGAGAACTTAAACATAATTATCTACTCTGATTCTCAAGAATTCTATATAGTAGGTAGAATAGTGCAGTGGAAGGAGCACTACATTGGAAACCTGGCAATCTACAAGATAAAGAACTTTCACTAATTACTTGGGAGGCCTCTGGCAGTAATATCCCTGGATCTGTTTCCAAATCTGTTGAATGCTAAAAGTCTGGACTAAGTACATGGCTGCCAAAATCCTTCCCAGCACCATACCGTGTGAAGACAGAGTGTGTAGCTGCCCCCATTATTTCATAGCTGATAAGAACTGAGATACACAACTGTTTAAAGGACTTGTTGAAAGACAAATTGTTAGTAAAGGAATATTCTGGGCTTCTGCCTCCCAGGATTTTGTCACTGAATCAGAAAGAGCACTTTGTAAAAAAGCTTTTCCAAGCTTATTTATTCATAAGAAAATGGTACTGGTGATTTTCTCCCAAAAAGATTTAAGACTGAAGTTTGTTTTTAAAGTATAAGGTGATTTAAATGTTTCTAATTTAGTAGCAAAAAGTATTAAACTCTTTTCTGGCATATGAAGACTCTAGAACTTTAAAAACTGGACTTTTATTTGGTGGATTTCAACAGTGCTCATACTTTCATGTACACATTTCTTTGTCAACATCACTGTTATTTTCTACTTATATGAGAAAAATAAATCATCCTAAAATAACTTAACATTTCCATTAACAATGCTAGGAGTTACCTGCTTTCCGTACATGGTGTGAGGCTGAAGCAGCAGAGAAATAAGGAATTTGCCCAGGGACACCATGTAACGCAAAAGACACTGGAATCTGACCTGGAGGGAGGGGCTGTGCACCAGCCTTCTGTGTGTGCAACTGGCCAAGTGGGGTGGTGGGATGGAAAGACTGAAAGGGTGGGGCTGTGGAAGAAGGCCCACACGTAGGAACTTCAATGGGCCCCTGCATAAAGTCACTGAATTCTTCTTCATCAAGAAAGGCAGGTGATGGGGAGACAGTTTTAGTAGAATGAGATGATGTGGGACAATCTGCAAAATGGAAAATGGTAATGAAACACACAGAAATGAAAATCAATGGAGAAAAAGAAATTAAGATGTAGTACAATTTCAAAGAATACACTGAAATATGAACAATGGAAGTGAATAATAAGTACTAATAGTCAAATGGAATTATACAATGTGTGAAAACTATTTTGATATTTACACACAATTTTATATTTTTAAAAAAGGCTTTAAGTTATTTTGCATTTGATTCAAAAACAGAAAAATGTAAAACTCAGTATTTCCTTCTTTCTCTTATTAGGTTAGTACTAATTTCTTTTCCCTAACCAAAACCACTAATGAATTTATATCACAGTGGTAATTTTTTTTGAAATCCAAATGTTCTGTTTATCTGGATAATGTTTGCTGAAACCAATGTACGTATACCAGATATAAGAAATCTACCAATATGTTGCTGACTGGATTTCAGACATATATTCTCTGATGTTTAAATTTCATTATTTAGTAGGAAATTCAGTAACAAATAATTTTCCATATACCGTGGCTGGTCAATATATTTCATATAGATCACATTTCAGTAGTTATCACATGGGAAATGAATATCACAAGAAAAGATAAGAGTGTTAAACACATTATCAAGGTGATATTTTCTTGTGAAAAGCCTCAAAATGCATGCCACAAAGTGCTGAATGAAACAACTCAACAGTCAGTTTAAGAAAATCATGACAGGGCCCGGGATTTAGCTCAGTGGTTTCACCACCTGCTTTGCAAGTGCAAGGACCCGAGTTCAATCCCCGGTACCAAAAAAAAAAAAAAAAAAGAGAGAGAAAATCATGACTGACAACTATATTTAAAAGCATTTGGCACTAAATAACAAACATCACTGTGCCTTTTTCTGTTCAACGCGAGACTCACTTATATTAGATTCACTTCAATAAAGTTGCTCTATAGGGGCTACATGTTTTTTGGTGGTGGTACTGGAGATTGATCCCACAGTCTCTGCGCTGAGCTACATCCCCAGCCCCCCGCTCCCCTTTTAAAAATTTCGAGTCAGGGTTTTGCTTAAGTTGCTACATTGCCCAGGGTGGGCTCAAATTTGTGATCTTCCTGGCTCAACCTCACAGAATGCTCGTATTATAGGCATGTACCACCATGCCTGGCCAGGGCCTACATTTAACACAAAGCTCATTAATATTACTTTATTATTGCTTCTCCACAGCTACTTTGAATTGCTTTAATATTTACTACAGTCTAATGTCACAAGGAACATTTTTAAGGAAATAGCTATCATCTGAAAAATCAGTACTACATACTAATACCACTCTTTAGAATAAAATCCCGAAATATTGAAATTCTATGAAAGATACAAAATAAATATGCAAAATTACTGCTGTAATTAATTTTATGTGAAAAAGAAAAAGCCATGCCATATTGAATTTCAGGCCTCCCAACAATGCTTACAAAGACTATGGATTTAGATTCTTAGCTACTTTGAATATTTTTTAAATGGACTTGGCTCCATTTTACAATATAAAGCAAAGTACATTTTATGTATGCATGTATGTATGTATGTACCAGGGATCGAACTTAGGCAAAGTACATTTTATATTCCAATAATATAAAGTATATTTCATAATCCAATATACGGTAAATGCTAAATCAGCTTTCCTTGCATTTGGCTGGAATTATGTTAATTCTATGTGATACATATTTTGGCTCATAAACTTGCAACTACATATATGATTTTTTTTTGTATTAAATTCTTTTATTGGTACATTGTAGGTATACAACACAATTACATTTCTCATTGGGAATTGTACCTTTATATAATGCATCTTGGTTCTTATTTTTTCCCCATTCCTAGCCCTCCCTTCACGCCCTCCACCCTTCCCTATTTACAAAGACTTTATTTCCATTTTTTCCATTACTACATATATGATTAATGAGAAACAAAAATTAATACGATAAATATAGTTTATATATTCAATATTTTAAGATAAAAAGTCTATGGGAGAAAATTAAAAGATGTCTATGGTGGTAAAAGGGTTAGAACATTTTTTTAATATGCTTTAGAGCTAGGACTAAGACCCTAAATGGACAGGCTCTGGAATCTTCTTGGGGTTGCTTCAGATCAAACTTTTTCTATCTTAGCATGAAATTGTTAACTAGAAATTGTAAACTGTAAATATGTTGATTCTGGAGATTTGAACCTCAAAGCACCAATTTCTTTTGGCGGGGGTGTTTCAGACAGGGTCTTGCTATGTAGTTGAGGCTGTCCTTGAATTCACTATGTAGTCCCAGATCTGTACTGAGCTTGAAGGAAAAGTTCAGCACTGACTCTTCCGACACAAGTAGTGGTCAATTAAACACATGGGGACTATAAATCACTTTCTAAGAAAAAAAAAATTTAATGCCTTTTAAAATTAAAACTACCTGGTTTCTTAGGGTGTGATGCTGGAGTAGGGTGCATCTTAGCATCTCTGGAAAATCCATCTAAGTTTCCTTTGATGGCTTCCAAAGCATCATCTCTACTCTTCTCTCCTGTCTAAGAGACAACAAAAATATATTTCTTTACTTACCTCTCACTTTGTTCTAAACTCTCTCAAATTAAATGAAAAGCACAGATTAGTGTATTTCCAATGACATACTTCTGATAATGAATTCTCCAAGTCAGAAAGACACTGCTAGGTACATAAAGAGAAGGCATAAAATGACACTCTAGAGAATATAAGACTATTTAAAGAGCCAATACTTCAGGTCAGGGCTTTCAGATGTTAAGTGTTCTATAAGAGTTTCAACAGAAATCCATTTCATATCACCAAATGTAAGATTAATGTTTCCCAAGAAAAAAATTATGAAGTTTGCCATGGTAGCAAAAAAGAATTGAGAAGTTAATCTTATTCTTATCAACAACAGAACATATTTACAGAAAGAGAGAAAGCTTTCTCTTAGTATGTAGGTAAACTAAACTGAAGAAAATCAATCATAGCCTGAGCTTGGGCTGGCATCTCAGTGATAAAATCCACTGAATGAGTGAAAGAGACCTCCAGGATGTGTGTTTTAGGAGGGGAGAGATGGTGCGCATATTACCTTGGGCTTTACACTACTCAGAAGTCTGAGCTTTTGCTTCTGCTCTTCAAACTGGCGTCTTTTTCTTTCTTCTTCTAAGAGTTTTTGCTGTTGCTCAAATCGTTTTCTGAGGGAAAAGCAATCCAATAAAGATCCAACTTCTGGGATTAACTTACATTTAGATTTCTACTAAGAATTTCAGCAGTATCATCTTGCATTTCTAGAACTATAACCTTCACTACTAATTATGTCTAATTTTCTTTCTTTTTCTTTTTTTTTTTTTGGTACCAGGGATTGAACTCAGGACCTTGCACTTGTGAGGCAGGCGCCGGAACCACTGAGCTAAACCCCCGGCCCTGTCTAATTTTCTTATGACAATGTTTTCTCGCTATCTTAATTCTAAAATATTGGAAATGAGCCTAAAATGACTTAAACTATGTATATGTATTTATTTTTTATCTAACTTGCAAGGGAGAAAACATCTTTGCAAAGTAATGTCAAAATTAGGGAGGCAGCCAGGTAAGGTGGTACATGCTAGAAATGCCAATACTCAGGAGGCTGAGGCAGAAGAATCTTGAGTTTAAGGCCAGCCTGGATTACACAGTGAGACCCTATCTCAAAACAAAACCTCAGTGAGACAGACAAACACAAAAACATTGTTTCTATATTAAAAAAAAGTTTTCTTAGGAAGGCAGTGTCTACAGGAGAAAGAGTAAAGCTCTGAGAATCAGGGACCTGCATTTGGGTTCAGGCTTTGCTGGTAACCGCTGGTAACCTGGATTATAAGTCACTTCATTTCTCTGGACCTCACTTTCCCTAGATGTCTGAAGTATGAGATCTCTAAGGACTCTTTTGGTTCTAAACTTCTAATAGAGTTTTAAAAGCAACTTGACTATTTTGGTTTCAAATCTGAATTTAACAGTTTATAAAATAGTTGCTAATATGTATCTGTTATCCTTGAATCCTGATGGTCTCTTACTGCTGCTCTTCAGCAAACTGCTTCTGCATGTCTGGAGTATACTGTGGGCCTGGAGGACGCATGCCTAGAAATGGTGCTTGTCCCAGGTAAGGCATTCCTGCTGCTGGCATTGGGCCCATTGGTATCCCTGCCTAGAAGAAACAGATAAAGACTTAAAAAATCAATTTTTCCTTTTAATTATAACAAAGAAAAGTGTAACTTGCACAAATTCTTTCTTCATATTAGGAAAGTGTAAAAGATTTAAAGAACTTAAGCTAAAACTAGAAAGCTCCTCTTAATATCTTGCCCCTCCATTCTCTTCACTGTCTCAGAAGCGACCACTGCTAATAGTCTGAGGGGTGTATGTGTGTAAAACCTTCAAGCTGTGTATGGAAGCACACACATACTTATATTTCTGTGAGCTCACGAATCCACAAGCTTTGAGAAGTATCATATCTCATATGCCTTTGTATTTTCCAACAATACATAAGATCCTGGCATATGTTGATTATTCTACAAATGAATTCCCAATATTTATGAAAAGATTTTGATGTTCGCTATCATAAGGCTGACATCCATTCTTTTACACTACACAAAATATACTTCTTACTCAACAAAGTTTACTGAAGCATCCAGAAATAACAGTATGGCACAATAGCTTACCATAAAATCTGTATTAAAAATGATGATAAGAGCCATAATAATGGCTAATTTTCACTGAGTAAAAATTCTTTTATTCCTCAGCCTTCTCCCTAAAAGGTTCCCCTTCTATCCTGGATGCTCACTGAAACTTTCTCATTTGCAGCCAATTCCTTGGTGTGGTCTCCTAGTTTTTTAATAATGTATATGGATGTGAGAGTTCCTATTTACTTATTCAACTCTCTGGTATTCACCCCCTTGTGCAGTAGTCCCAATACAGTCCCCATGGTGGAGAAATGGTCAAGTGTGGCTAGGTCATAAAAGACAATGAACATCATCTGACATCATCTCTCAAATCACTTGCTGTAGAGAGGTCTATGTGGAACTAGAGCACCACCTAGGAACGGAAGCTGCCAGCCACGTGAGTGGGATCCTTGGAAGCAGATCCTCTAACCTCAGTTAAGCCTGTAGAAGATGTAGCATCTTAACTAAAACCTCATGAGACACCCCAAACCAGAACAACCCAACTAAAGCCACTCCCCAATTCCTGCCCACAGGAAAGCTGAGGTGTTTATTGCTATTTTCTCCATCAATTTTGAAAGATAATTTTGCAGGATATATCACTCTGGGTTGGAAGTTGTTTTAGGGCTTGAAATACTTCATTCCAAGCTCTCCTTGCCTTTAAGGTTTGTGTTGAGAAACCTACTTTAATTCTAATGGGTTTCCCTTTATAGGTGATTTGGTGCTTTTCTCATAGCTTTTAAGATTCTGTTCTTATATTAGATTTCTGGTTATTTTAATTATGATGTGGTGTGGAATTTTTTTTTTCTTTTTTCTTTTTTGATTATGGCTATTTGGGGTTCTAAATCCCCCACTTGTCTGTATATTAAATTGCTTTGCCATGTCTGCTAAGTTTTCTGCTATTACTTCTGTTAACAGGTTTTTTATGCCCTATTGCTATTTTAAGCTACTAAATTTTAGAGTAACTTTTTAGACAGCAACAGATAATTAAATACAATCATGTTTGGATTTATTAGATTTCCTGAATCTGTGGATCAAGGTCTTTCAACAGTTCAGGAAACTTCTCTGCCATTATGTCTTCTGATTTACTTTCCTCCTTTTTTCTTTGTAGGATTCCAACTAAACATTTATTAGGCTTTCTCATTATATCTTCAAAAATCTCTCTCATAGATGGGCATAGTGGCAAATGCCTGTAATCAGCACTCTGGAAGATTAAGGCAGGAGGATCTTAAGTTCAAGCCCAACCTGGGCAACTTAGCAAGAACCTGCCTTAAAAAAGGAGGGAGGCTGGGAATAGGGATGTGTCCTAGGTCATCACTAGCATTGTAAACCAAACCAAACCAAACCAAAAAACTCTTCTATATTTTCTCCCTTTTCATTTTGTATGCATTCTAGACAGCTTCCCCAGGCCTATCTTCAGCTCTCTATTTTAGCTATTTATAATCTATTAAGCCAGTCAGAGAATATTTGTTTTGCATTGGAGATTGAATCCAGGACCCTGGCACTGAGCTCCCCTACTCCTTCATGAAATAGAGTCTCATGAAGTTGCTAAATTGCCTAGGCTGGGCTCAAACTTGTAAGCCTTCTATTTCAGCCACCCAGAGTACTGGGATTATAAACAAGATTTCTTTTTTGGGGTTACTTTTCAATTTTGAAATTGTTTAAATCTGCTGTATCACTTTTTATAACTAAATGCTCTACCAAATATTTCTACTTCAGCCTTTATTTCTTAGATTATGGAAAATGTAGTTCCACAGCCTATTTTGGTAATTCCAATAACTCATATTTTTATGATTTTTAGAGTGTTTGCCTAGCATGCCTGAAGCGCTGGGTTTGATCTCCACACTGGCGGAAAAAAAAAAAGAAGCTGGGCACTGCGGCACATGCCTTTAGTCCCAGTTACTTGGAAGGCAGAGGTTTGAGAATCATTTAAACACAGGAATCCAAAGCCACCCTGGGAAACATAACAAGATGCCATCTCTAAATATATAAATAACATAGCTCTGGGTATGTAGACACCTAACAACAAACAATACCTATATAAAGAATCAACCAAAAGGGCAAGTACCTGCATAGCAATTGGTCCTTGGGACATTTGAGAGCTGTAATTCATCCCCATCATGCCTTGCATATTAGGTTGCATGACAGAGACCATAGGAAATCCTTGTTGCTGCATTGGCATTAGGCCTGCTGGAAAACATGAAGGCAGTATTAAAATCAATATATTTTGGGGGCCAGGGATTTAGCTCAGTTGTTTCCACCACTTGCCTCACCTGCAAGGTCCTGAGTTTGATCCTAGGTTCAAAAAAAATAAAAAG